TGTTCGTTTTTCTTATTATTCTATATTCGTATTAAAAGCTGTTGTAAATACCATGAATGCGTTCCTTTATTAAATAACAGTTGCGGAAGTCGCTTGCCTTTCACCATTGAGTTTCCGGATTCTATTCCCGTATAATCTCCGCAGGGCAGAATTTTTCATTAGGCCAACTAGACTTCAGCATAGATCCTCATGATCAAGAGGGGCCTACATTAAAATTGTTAGCAAAATTAAAATTGCACTTTTCTAAAAACTGTGACTACGAAAACACTGAACCGAAAATAAGGAGAAATTCTACGCGTAGGACGAATAAATATAAAAACATATTGGTTAAGATCAACGCCTTCGGTTCATTGAGTCTGTTCGTTTGTATTTAGTAGATTTGCATGGAAGTATAATTCACACGTTCACTAATTGCTATGGCTAATATTGATTTGCCTTAAACTACTAAGCTCTCTTTTGTTCTTGCATTATTTAGTGTAGAATGAAGTAATTGGAATAGACAAACAGACCTATTGATATCGTCGTTCGGTTACATTTGTGTTACTTCGATAATATCAAACACGTTTTAATATTATTAGTAAGGAAAGAATTTTAAGGTGCAAATTATGGTTGTAAAAGGGAGCAATGTATTCTGAAAATACATACAAAAAAGTGCTGCTAAAACAACTCTATTAAGGTTTAAACCAGTAACATTAACTCAGTTTCTACAATATTTTGTATCAATTTGTACCAATTTTTTCTTATTTATAGAGTGCGTAAGATAGTACTTTATCCAACACGGTAGTAGATAAATAACTTACAAAGTAGGCTTTCACGGCCAGTTTCTACATCATAATTAGTTGTTTTCGGGTTTGTAAGCCGTGGTCCAACGGAGACTGGTCCATACGTTTAACAACTATTATGATGAGGTAGATAACTGTTAAGCAATTGCTGGTTCTGACTGAGCTGCGCCCGCATGAGCACTTGCCACATGGGAAACTCCGTGCTGGTGCACAGGCATCTTCCCTGTCTCCCCTCACCTTTCCCCACAAATCCACGAGCGCTACCAATGCCCTTTGAGTATTAACGGCGACACAATGCCGGGGTAAACATTTTCCTCAGGTCGCAAACAAGTGGATTTCTGAAGTCCAGATTTGCCTGTCTGTGCAGCACTTTAAATTCAGCGGGAAAGGGTTAAATTGTTGCAGCAACACTGTTGAAATTTAAATTTGACTTTACAGTTGCAGATTGACCACTTGCTGGGATATAAATTACTGGTGGTTTACGTAAAATTTAATTTAATATTTATTTAATATTGTTGACTTCTGATTAAATGAGTTTTTAAAAAGCCGATCAAAAATATAAAAAAATAGATTTGTCTGCCCAATTGTTTAAAAACGCATAAAACAATGGAGAATATGGTGCTGAGGCATAAACAGAGGAAAAAGGAAGCAAAATGTAGTAATCTCACGAAAAGTTACAGAAAATTGTGTTAATTTCGCGTTATTTCATCCCCACGAATATAATCAGTATGAAAAGTGTTGAATGATCAGTATAAAAACAACTGATAAGGTACCGCACCTTACAATCCTTTTCCTAGTTATTAAAAAAGATTCTTATTTCAGGATTGCATTCACGATCATTTGATTCTCACCTTTTGAGTTCAGTACGATCAATGCTCTAGTGAAATGTTTATAGACTATTGAACATTTTTTGTCACAATATCTTCATTCCGCGAAATTCTTGGTAAGTACTTAACATATGTTAATCTAATATATAATAGTATAATTCATTCTTAAACCTTAAATGCAAATTATTATGAAATACATTTTTCTAAATTGAATTTGGTTTAATCTTCAATGTCTTGAATATATGTGTGTGTGTATATATATGTGTATGTGTATATATCTCCCTCTCCCTCTCCCCCTCCCCCTCCCATAAATTCACGTGGACTCAGCCCACTAGAAAACTGCAATCAATAATTGACTACATAATTACTAAACAACAGTCATCAATAAAGTGAAGGAGGGTTCAAAGAGGTGCTTCCTGTGGATCAGATCACTACTTATTAAAAGGAAAAGCTTATGTATAAAACATCACTTCAAAAGTTACGGAAACACAAAACCAAATACAAAAGGTGGAAAAATAGAGAGTTCAATGTGGGCGAGATACAATATTGAAAGCCTTCAAGATGATTCCATTGCATTTTTGTACAAATTGTGCATAGCAGAAAAATTAAAGTACATTCCAATAGGAAATACTGAAGACAAATACCAATTTTTAGAAAAATGCACTCATGAAGCCGCTAAAGAAGCTTTGGGCGAGAAGGGAAAATGTGAACATTAAGAAAAAGTTACATTTGAGATGGCTTTCCTCAAAGGATTTAGAAGACAGAAGTGAATATAACAGAATGAAATATTTGGTCAAGAAAGAAGTGAAGAAGGCAGAAAATGTATTCTGGGAACAAAGATTAGACAAGTGCATTGGTAACACCAAATCCAAAGAGGCATGGAAAATGTTACATTTCATGAAATTGAAATCAACCCAAGAATGGCAATTAATAGACCCAATTGGTATTGAAAAATGGCAAAAATACTATGAAAATCTTTTGACAGGAAATAGAAATAAATTTCAGGGAATAAATTATGAAACACTGCATGTAAATTCAATCACACCAGATGTGACTTTGTAAGAGGTAAAAAAGATGTTAAAAAACATGAAAAATAATAAAGCATCCAGGCCTGGAGGTATATCCATAGAGCTGGTTAAACATTATCCTATTGTAGGTTTGGAATTAATTACTGAAATATTCAATGGCATTTTAAAAGGAGGTAAAATACCTGAAATATGGAAATTAGCCTACATAAATTCAATTTTAAAAAAAGGTTGTAAAAAATATTGTAATAATTATAGAGAGATAGACTTCATTTTTGGTTAGACTGTATGGGCTGTGCTAATGTATAGAATTGAAATGCAAACATCAGACTCAGAAGAGCAAAGTGGTTTTAGACCAGGAAGATCCTGTATTGACAATATTTTCTGTCTCAAACAACTGATGGAAAAAACAATTGAGCAAGGAAGAGAATCACAATTTTACACATACTTTTCATTGATCTCAAAAAGGCTTATGATAATGTACCAATAAAAGAAGTATGGGGGGCAATGGAAGAAAAAGGAATACCAACAAGCTACATAAATGCAGTCAAACAATTTTATTAAGATAACAAAAGTCAAGTAAAAGTGGGAAAATGTCTATCAGACAACTTCACAGTAAATAAAGGATTACGGCAAGACTGCTGTATATCGCCAACCCTGTTTAAGATATACATTGATAAAGCCCTAAAAGAATGGAAAAGAAAGTGCAGAAGCATGGGTGTGAAAATAGGTGATGAAACATTGTTTAGTCTACTATTTACAGACGACCAGGTGATAATAGCTGAAGATGAAGATAATGTAACTTATATGTTCAGAAAATTAGTAAAATGGGGAATGGAAATAAATGTACAAAAAACTGAAAATATGGTGGTCAGAAGCATTCCCCACGATTTAGAGACTAGTAAAGGAATAATTAAAGGTAATACACAATGTAAGTATTTGGGAGCAGATGGAAGAGACGAACAGGATGTGAAAAATAAAAATAGAAGAGGAAAAATAGCCACAAGACAGTTGAATCCAGTGCTACGGAACTCAATTATTTCAACGAAGACAAAGAAACGCATATATAGCTCCTTCACTGAGAGGACCATACTCTATGGGGCAGAAGTCTGGGCACTAACAAAAAATTTGAAAGAAACTTCAATGAACAGTAATGATGTTCTGGCGAAGATGTAAACTTTCTCTGTTAGTTAAAATAAGAAATAAAATGAAAGTGCAAACAACCTTGACCGATACTATCAAAATAAAACAACTAAAATGGTATGGACATATGAGAAGGTTGAAATCGGATAATTTCCACAAAACGTTTAAAAGTGGATACCAAATCGAAGAAGATTCAGGGGAAGACCAAGAAGAACATGGAAATAACTAAAGCCATGGAAAAAAGAGAAATGGAAGAAAACGATCAATGGGATAAAGAGGCATGGAAATTGGGATGCGGAAAACGGCCAAGGCTGTAAAAAAAAACGCTAAATTGATAGATAGTTGATATGTGGAAAATCAAAACAAGGGAGACATATCGACTCCAGCACAAGATTTTCTTCGACTCTTCGCCGAGGCGAAAGATTTCTCACGTGGGTCGATCTGCGTATGAGTTTCTGATATTTTTCTACAGAGCCACAGAACCAAGTGTTAAGAACTGTAAAAGGTGTGATAACCAATAGTTCATTATTTTCTCTTTAAAAGGAAATTAAATTAAAAAAGAAAAAATGTGTTGGAAGTTACTCTTGTATAGCAGCAGTGCACTGGTGTAATAAACAATGCACAGGTAAAAATTTGAAGGAAGAAACTTAAAGGGATAATTTGAAAGAACTGAATTAGTTCATTACTTTTATAATTGTTTCTTATTTATGAATGAATTAATTAAATGTATATTATTTTTAATCAATCTCTATTTATAATTCAACTAGTAGGGTAAGAGATTTCGGTGCTCAAAAAAATTTCATTGTTCAGCACCATAAGCAGGCGCGGTTCTATGAGGAGAGAAATGAGGGAAACTCTCCCCCCCCCCTCAAAAAATGGTTTCAGTAACTATTAATTTTAACTTCTCACATCAAATTTTAACTTTGCTAGATTTTCAAGCAAAAATATTTTCGGATTATAGTTAAAACAAATAAAATCGTATCGCAGTATGAGCTGAGTGTAGCCTGCAACATTTTATAAATTCTGTAATACAACATACTCAACCAAACAGTTTTGAATTTCCCCTCCCAAAATTCGTCTGGATCCCCCCTGCCCATACGTCACAGATTTTAACTGTTTGTTTATATAAAATAAATAATGATTTAAAATAATGCAATGTTGTATTTCTCTTTAGGCAATTGGAAATTTTTATTATATATATTATTATATATATAAATTTCAATATTTACTATCATGGTTGCTAAACAAGGATTTCACGAGTTAAAGTTAGACAAAAGCATTCAATAAAACATCAAATGGCATTCGCAACTGATCTAATTGAAGTAATTACTCTTCAGTCATGACCCTTGGCTGGTGCACATAAAGGCACTTCGAAACATTGAACTATTTCTAGTGCGTGGGCAACCTCACAGGCAGCTTTCCGTCTCGGTGTAGTCTGCCTTCGTGAAGTTTTACCTGGTTTCACAATACTAGATGGGGCTTTTCTAACCTCGAATAATGTAGTTTCGAGCGAAGCAACATAGCCCCCGCCGCTGCAGGAGAGAAGCAAACAAACTGAAGGGGAAGTAGGTCTCTTCCGTCACTGAATCTCCTTTACTCACTAGCATAAACGTTCCAGTTTAAAAATTTGATGCCATAAGAATTTATTTCATTGTAAAAAGTAAAGACTTTAAATACCCAATCAGGAGTTATTTAGGAAATATTCTAAAATCTTCTGAATACTTTTAATAAATATTACCAACAAAGAAATAATTACAAATACAAAAAGGAAGAATATTTATAACAAGTTTTGGCACTGTGAACAATGTAATATTGTTCATTAAACAAAACACAGAATTTTTAGAAATTTAGGAGGCACACAAATCTGTTTACATATAAAATTAACAACTGCAATTCAACTTGCAAACTTCATTTTTCTATGTTGCTGAAAATGCTCTATTAAACTAGATTTTTGCATAAATGTCTCATCACACAGGCCACAAATAAAAGGAGATTCTTCTTCAGGTTCACATACATGCCTTCTAAGTTCCAAGGGACGTAAAAATGTCTTATCACATATTTTGCATTCCAAAATAGTTTGGTTTGCTTTTGATTGTTTTCCAACACCACAATTCTGTAAGCGAAGGTGCCTAGCCAGAACACCAGGACGTGAGAATATTTTCCCACAACAATGACACTTCCAATCCTTTTTCTCCTGATGTACACGATTAACATGATCAGTCAAACTGCAATGTCTATTAAATACTTTATCACATTCATTACATTTAAATGGAAATTCATTGTTATGAATACGTTGGTGTCGCCTTAGATTGAATGCTTGAGTGAAAGCCAGGTCACAGATATTACATTTGTGTTTTTTAAGATGGTCCGGTTTTGACGAGTTCACATGATTGCGTTGATGTCTCCCTAAATTGGAAGGATCACTAAAGCTTTTATCACACATTTTACAACGGTAAGGTTTCTCCCCAGTATGTACTCTCATATGGATTAACATCTTGTTTTTTATTCGGAATGCTTTGTTGCAAACCTTACATTTAAAGGGTTTATCAGTGAGGGGTGATTTTGTTGAGGAGTGTATATTTCCAGCACTATCACCTGTGTCCCTATTTGAGGCACAACCTTGAACACAAATCTCCTGAGAACCAGTCAAATCAGTTGGAGTAGAAAGTGTCTCACAAGTTTTGCATTCATCCACTTGCTGTTCAGTGCTAAAACCAGTTTCCATATTTGAAGGCAGAGAGCAAGGAATTTTGGCATTGACATTGCAGATGCAAGTCACAATTTCCACATTTAGGTCACAGACTCCTTCAGGGGCCTTGGGGATGACAGAATTTGCCTGGTGATCGTTGAGGTCACAGGGAGAGCTTGCTTCACCCAGGAGGCTGCTCTTCTGGCAGGGCACACGCTGTTCAATGCACGCATGTTCCTTCAGGTCCTCCACACTGTGGAAACACAGCCCGCAGTCTGGACATGAGAATGTCTCACATACTGCATGATCCTTGACTGCACACACAGATTTTGCTTTAGTGATATTTAACATATAAAAGAGTAAGCTAACAGAAGGTGCAAACATTTTCAAAACAAATGGATACAGAAAGTCATTCAAGTTGCATCTCAGTTATGATGCTAATATATTAATAATTCAGAATATAAATATTAAACTAATTTTCTGCCCAAAGAGGTTTTTGGATGTGTGACACTAAGATAATAGTTTAAGTGGATGCTTTGATAGTGCAGGCTTTCAACAAATGTGAGAAAACATTTATCATAGCAAATAAATAACACTGATATGGGCAGGAACTGAACAATATCTAAGCTCTTTATGAGCCTTCAAACTTGTAAAGTTCTTATTGAAACACCATATATTTATTGGTTTTGGCAAGAATGGATTTGTAATGCAAGGGAATATCCTTTTTGCCAACATTTCTAAATTTATTCAATGATTAAGGGCTTTCAATGACTTCTTCCTCCTCATCATCATAACGGCCATTACATACATAGGTATTCAAGATGGTTCCCAGATAGCAAATCAGATAATGAAGGTTAAGCTGCTTATCATTCAAATAAAAATAAAAATGTTAGTAAAGACGTTATAAATTTGTGTAACTATTTCAATGCCAACATCCCACAAGCATATCAATAATACAGGATGGATTTGGTCTTCAGGTAATATCAAATGCAAGCCAATCCACTTGTTAGGTGTTGATCACTAGAGCAGAGAGATCACAATAGTGGATTCAGAGGGCAAATCACTGTTGTCATATCCTTTCCCACCAAAACATCCAGAAAATCAAAATAAACATGAACATTAGAATTAGGCAACTGCATCGTTCATGACTCTTAACATGTGTAGTAAATTAAAGATAAATTGAATGAGTGAAGTAAATATCATATTTACTTGAATATAAGATGATCCCTTGGCTTCAGAGGCTGCCTAAGGATTTTAAAAATGTTTAACTAATTGCCAACTAAACGTGTTTAACTACTTAGTCAAAATAAAATAGCAGATTGAGTAATTGACCAGAAACCAGCCTTGGAAATTTTAAAATATTTTGCCTGAGTTATCTCTATTTTCTTGCTCTTGAATGACATTATCATCATCATAATAATTTCTGTCAATGCCATCTTCATCTCCACGTGTTTCATTATTTCTAGCCCTTCTCCCATTATAGGTCACCGTCTGATTGTTTTGCTCCCCATCCTTTGTGCTTTACATCTGCATTCTTTGTCTTTCATCTGACACTATCCAAGGGCATCTAAACTGCGTTGCTAGATTTTCTTCCTGGCATGCGTGTCCGTGGCCTTATCTTCGATCATTTTACTTTAAATTCGCGAGGTCTAATTTCAAACTGAGCTACACAAACATCTGAGTGTCAATGAGAGAACGAAGTTTCAAAAGTTTGGGAATTTTTTGCCAAGATTTTTTTTTATTGTCCCGTCTCTGCGGTTGGATGAAGAATGTGTATTCTGACAATGTGATTTTTTTCATTTACATCCCTTGCAAACGGTAGATTCACAGTAAAGCAAATCCAAACCAAATAGGCTTAATCTGCGAATGTCAGATGAATTTTTGAATGAGATATTTAGGAATAAAAAAACTCGTCTTATATTCGGGTATATACGGTAAATGTGTTTTTTGGTGACGGGGCACTAGGGGTATGGCCACTTTCAAAATTTAATACAAAGAAATAAGAGGTCATTAAAAATTATTGGCCCACCACCCTGAATGTTCATTTTTCCAGTTTCCTCTGTAGAAATCAGGTATATTCTGTACATTATTACTTGTTTTATTGTAAAACAAAGGAGTTATTTAAATGTAATGTTCATAATATGGTAAGTGATCAGCAATCAGTCCATGGACAAAAAGTGAACCAATGTTGGAAGTAATGTTTTTCAAACTGTGAAATCTCACATACTATTTACATTTCAAAGAAACTAAATAATTGTCTACTGCAGTGAAAACAGGAGTGATTCAATCAAAAGAAAAATGAAGATTAACTTAACTAAGTACGAAAGAAAAAATATAATGAAACTTTACAATTGGTTTTAATTAGTAGATAAATTGAACAGAAGATTGTAAAGAAAATTGATTCATTTTTCGGTGGGGGTGGAGGGGGGAGGGATAAATATTATTTTTTAATAACGAATACCTGAATTTATTTTTTAGGACGTCTCTGTATAGATATAATTTTGCTTCAACCAGCACTTGAGGAGATGGAAACAAATTTCCACAAAATTTTAAAAAAACTTACATATTGGCAGCAAATAATAAAATTTGAGAGAAAATAAACTAAATTATACTATCTCTTGAAATGTAAAGACAACAACAAGAAAGACAATGCGAGCAATGGCAATCTATGAAGAATGCAAATTGTATATAAAAAAAGAAACATTTTATTTTTTACTGAACTTTTATTTGACTTATAATGTTGATACATTACATAATTGAAAAAACAAGATATCATGCATCATTTTAAGGCTTATGAGAAGATGCATTTCTCAATGTGGAGAGAGAACATGAAAATAAGTGGGCAAAACAAGATTGCAATGTTCAGTAAAAAATAAACATTTCAATGCACCATGGGCCTTATAAGATTTAAAATGCCTCAACACCTAGCAGGAGTTCTGGAGCAATTTGCCTTTTGATATTAAAGTAGAAATATCCTTTGTTTGTAAATATCTATTAAGGAGAACAGCAAAGCCAATAAGGAAAGAAACATTACATTTTAAGATTGTTATTTTGTGTGATGGTTTGAAAAAAAATAATTTGAAAACAAACAATGAGAACTGTCAGAACCATGAGCAATGATTCCAAATCTGGGAAATGATATACTCTAGAAGTCTACTAAAGGCAAAAATATAGAAAAATCAAATTAATAAAATCTAATTTTCAAATTAATCTGAGCTTGAATTTTTTGGATTGATGGCAAAATCCACCAATGTCAGTAATACAAGTCAATGCTGTAATTGGTTCTTGCACCAAACCACAGAATATATGAACATTTGGTAGAACAACATTTAATCAGTGGGACCTGAGCATTTACAACTTATTGTACTATTTTTTTATGTTCTCATGAAACTCATGGTAACAGCAAAAAGCACAAGAGTTTGTCACACATCTGGGTCTTCAAGACTATGTGAAAACTTTAGGCACATACTGACCACACACATGGAACATGAAAATGCAAGTATTGCAGTCTGTAGGTGACTGCTTCATGCAAGATTTTTCTGGAAGCATTAACTCTTTTGGGGAGGAATTGGCGCGCATTGTTTACTTGTGGTCAGAAGTATGCAGATCATGTGCATTATAATGATGCAGCATTGCAATCAGTTCATCATATGAGAACATATTGTTTTAATACAATGCTACATTTTATATTCTTCAAGCTAGATTGCAACTCTAACACAGAAAATAAACTTGTCTTGTACTGTAACTTAAGACTCGTTTAACCACTCACTAACTCACAGTAACGTAAGACTGATTGTTCTGTAACTTAAGACACTTTTTATCTCGAGGAACTGAGGCACCGCTGTCTATCTTCATGAAGTGATCTAATAAATGTATCATGTAGTAAGAGAAGTCTTTGCGTCACTGGCAGGTTCTCAGATTAGAGGCAGAAACAGTGGGGTATATTCATATTTGTTGGTAAACAATTACAATCTAAATTAAAAAAAAAAAAGAATGGAGGGTACTTAAAGGATTTTAGTTTGGAGCAAAGGAATACACTTAATGGATAAATATGTGATACAGCATCAATATGACGCACACAGCCTGCTCACAAAACCACAATATAAAACATGAATTAGATTCCTGCTCATTCTTCCAAAGCCTATTTTGTAATACAATTTTTAAAATTATCCTGTGCAAACGCAATAGCTACAGGCAACTGTATTTTTGCTGGTTCCTGATCTATATTACAAAAGTTGTTTATTGTCTGTATGTTAGGGTATCCATATTTTTCAAAATGAGGGTATTTTTTTGAAGTGTATCACGAAAGATAAAAGTTGGGGACCATTGCTTTAGAAAAGGCCTTGGATGTTTGCGGCAGTGAATTACGATGATGGCTTTAATTAGTCTGGGATTTGAAGCAATATCGACTAACTACTCTTTTCTTATTTTATAATCTACCATTGCTCTTCACTAGCTTGTATCTTCCGCGGTCACTTGTCATCCATCACCTGTGTCTGATGATTCCCCTTTGTTGGAGTTATTTTTGGAAGGCTGTTCGTGCCTCCCTCGCCCTCGTCCACGACCTCTTCCACGCCCTCGCCCTCTTGCCCGTCCCCTCCCTCTTCCTCTTCCCCGTCCTCTGATGTCATCCATTCTTCTCCTCGGAATGCTTTCTTCTGTGGGTTCAACTGACTTTACTGCCCTTAATTCCCTCATTACACTGTTGTTTTCCTGGACTTGTGTTGAATCATGGGGCATTGCTTCAATCACATGCCAACTATTCTTAAGATCAGATGTTCCTTCAACCCTGAAATATCACATATTCCACATGTTACAATGGTAGAAATTGACAAACGCATTAAAAAATATGCCTTAAAATATTTAGTAAAAGTAAAAGTCTGCAAATGTGTTCATATTTCATTCTGGTCACAGGAAGTCTATGACAGCAGTATTGCAGACGGAAGGTTTCCCTATAGAACGGGTGAAATTGAAAGTGGGTAATGCAAACTTGTGGCCAAAGAAATCAGTTTTCCGTATTGATAGTACAAAAATGATGTGTATTTTTCACAAAAATTGAGGCACGATTTTCGAATTTCGCAAGGATATTCCTGAGAGGCTGAGTAAACCAGGGAAAGGTTTTTTAATGGTTAAAAGTTTTTTTCACGATTGAGAATTTAGTCAAATGAAATGCGCAATTGCATATACGAGGCTCTGTTGGCGGGACGAACAGAGTGAATGGGGCGGATGTTGGGGACGGGGCGAGCGAAATGGAGCTGCTGGCGCCGCGAACAGGTCGAGGCGGGTCGGTTTGGCTAGGTTCAGGTAAATAGCTACCCAGGCAACCCTAAACTTGGGTTTTCATTTTTAGCGCGTGAGGGCCTGTCTTCACGATGGAATATCTCACGGCATTTCACACCCTTTTCGGTCGTCCCGCCAGATGTTGCATGATCGCCAACACTGCTCGATTCTGTCGCGATCATGCGACATCTAGCGGCAGGACAGAGAAAGATGCGAAATGACCGGCCCTCACGCGCCAAGAAATAAAAACCCAAGTAAAGGTTTTCAGTTAAACGATAGAAGGGACAAATCTAAATTAAAGCAGATTGTGTTTACTTTTTAAAAATCGAAATTCACGATTTTGTGAATAGCAGGAACTCAATATTCAATATTTTTTTCAACGCAAGTGTTCGTGACAAAATGCTTTAGAAGTGAAATTGAAGTTTTTCGCGTTAAACACGAAATCCAATATTGATACGAAACGGTTATCTCGGTGTGTCTATCCGTTAAAGAAAAAAGGGAAAATCGAGTGACTTTCTGTATGAGTTCATCAAATTATACAATTCCTAATTTTCAGTTCCGAACGTTACAAAAAATTAATTTGTTGAACAAAATTTGATTTTTAAAGAAAAAATTTGGAGCAGTTTTTGAGTAAATCTTGCTTTTTTTTAATTTAAAAATTGCAAATTTTGCACGCAATTTTGCACGCAACGCGCGAGAACTACTAAAATTTTCAAAAAATGTATATGACCTCAATGAAAGAGGAAGTTATAGAAAACAAATTTTAATTGAAGGAAAAATCTCTATCTTCAATTTTGTAGTTGTAGGAATGCTCGGAACAAAATTCAAACTTTTGAAATTTTTGAAAATTCAGAGTTAACATTGAAAATCTGACCTATGCCACTTTACAAGAAATTTTAAGAAAACATTTGAAACCGTTTTTGAGAAAATGTTGAATATGCCCGAGGGGCTTCATGTAATGGACCCCAAAATTTTAAAGAATAGTTTACCAAATCTTAAAGCTTCTACTGGAGCAAAATCGACAGCTTTCTTCAATTTGCAAAAAAAAATCTTACGTATGGTGTAGGCGCTAGATGTGATCACAGGCTGACGGACAAACGTTTTACCGTCAATGGATACTTCGGAATCAAGAAGTCACAATACTGGGATTCTGGCTAACCACATGGTAGAGGATTTTCCCCATTTCCTTTCGGAACTGGATTATCGCGTTTTCGTTATCAGAGCCTGGCAATGAATTATTTTCTACAGACAATTGTCGTTTTTTCGCTCAGCTTTATAGTATTACATAACTTTCCCCATACTACGTATAGTACCCCGTATAATACATATGTATACGGGAAAGTAAAAATTGAGTAAATTCACAAACTTGAGAACATACTGTTCTAGTCTCACTTAAGCATGTGCTCACATCTACGTTAATAAAAGCAGAATTTACTCTTTCGATGAGCATATTCTCATATTATTTTTAGTCTGGACTTGAGGTGCCTGAATTCTGAGGGAAGTTATTGTACTCTTCCTTGTACGCAAGAGACTGTTAATTAATTGTAATGTTAATATTAACTGCTAATTAATGTATTAAATGAATGTGATGTGTAAAAAACATCAAATTGTTTTTAATTAATTATGGGAAATAATGTATTATCTTATAGACAGTTTTAAATAATTTTGAAAGAATGACAGTGAGACTGCTAAAAAATGGCTTTGTTCATGAATGTAAGAAACGAAAAGAGGTTCGGCAAGGCATAATAGAGTGGGAAACATCAGTTTATATTCTGATTTTCAATGAGAAAAGTTGAATACGTAAAACATTTTTTCGGCTAAGAAAAGATAGGAAACTAGAAGTGGCGCCTGACGATATGAAACGAAAAAGACAATATTTGTTTGTAGTGACAAGTAGGCGATTTTGGTTTGCAGCGACGTGTTGAGTACGATTTGCGTTGTCTCCAGGCAACAGTTTCAAAACCTCTTGTTGAGGTTATAGACCGTGTGTTAGAAATTGCCCCACATTTTAATTAAATTTGCACAATCCGCAGAGGAAATGAGCATATAAAAATTGGTCGCAACAAATGTGTATTTATTTCGCTATTTGCAAAACGAATTGTACACACATCCCTAATAAAAAACCAACGATCCTTGGGGATGAATTCATTAATAGAAGCATCAATATCCAAGAAACCCGCAATGCAGGTGAATGAGATTCCTAGTGTCTATTTGTCCTGGCCTCGGTTACAGTGAACCTCAGTTAAAGGAAATACAACGACCTGGAAAATAATTTATCACTTATGTGTCCCAAATTCCAACACTAGGTGGCTTAAAATATCTCGGCCAAACATCATAATCAAAGTGATAATAAAAACATCATAATCAATGTCTCCCCTGAGGTGAGCGTAGCGGGCCCGGAATGGGAAGCCCTCATGCCACTCAGTTTCAAGCTAGTTGTTAAGTGATATTTCGCGGGTCAAAGCGCGTTGTTTTCTACGTATGCGACAGCAAGCGCGCGTCTGCCACAGCCCCACAACCTCGCGATACCTGCCAAGCCGCGCGGAAAAGCGATCATATTCATTAGCGGCTTGCGCCATCCCGCTGCCGAAAGGATTTAATATGCTATTAGGCGAGTAACAGGGCCTGGCTCCAACAGCGCACGAAGCATTAATGGGGGCCAAGACTGCATTACGATATTTAGAGACAGTGGACAAGGCAGGATGAAGCATGGCGAGAGCTTAAACTCTGGAAAAAGATCTAGAGCAATTAGTAATGAAAAGTGTAGGAAGATAATAATTGAAAATTATTCATTTTTTTTTGAGGAGAAATAAAGATATTGAAATGTTCAGTTCGCGCAGTTAATGTATTTTGCTGTATATGTATATTACAAAATTTATCATTATGGAGAAATACTATTTAATTTGGCATTTTCGGATATGGTGAACCTCTGATAGAGTGAACCAAAAATGTTGATCCCAGAAGTTCACTATAACCGGAGTCGACTGTACTTTGCAACTTTGCCTTTGCCGGGTCAAGCTCCAAGGTCCCGACAAGTGCGATGGCGCCGTGCATGTGAAAGTAATTGTGTGTAAGGGGGTGAGGAAAGGACAAGGAAGGGGAATAAAAAGAAAGATCGCGCGCGTGGCCCGTTTGTTACGATACTGCTCCAGCATTCGCCTGGTGTTGATCGGAGAAACCGCGGAAAACTACCAATCACAGCCAGCCAGCCAGCCTTCAGAATTCTACTCCAGGCAGCGGCTGAATTCGACCTAGATGTCTAACTAGAGACGAAAACTCTACCACCATCGGGATTCGAACCTGATAAGAGGATCTGCAGTGACATCAGGTGATGTCCGGAGCCACGGTAAGCAGAGGCGGGTCCAGAGAAGGGTTTTGGTAGGGGAAATTCAAAATGTTTTCGTCAAATATGTATGATACAGATGTAAAAACGTCGCACGCTACACTCAACTCATGCTACGATTCGATTTTATTCGTTTTAATGATAATCTGAAAATAGATTTACTTGAAAGTTTCGTAACAAGTTAAAATTAATAGTTACTGAAAAAAATTATGGGGGAAAATCTCCCCCATCCCCCTTTGGATCCACGTCTACGGCAAGGTATTTGTAGAAGCAGTGTTAGGCGTGGTAGTAAGTAGTAAGAAGCAGTAGCAGTAATAGTAGTAGTGGTAGTAGTAG